GTAGATGCAGCATCCTCCCAGCGCCGCCAGAGCCTGCTCTGACTCCAGCCCAGCCCCCACCAAGAAGAGCCCCGTGTTCCCCTGGCTGCAGCCCGCCCCGCCCCACACGGATCTGTAGGGTGCCCCCTCCGTGCCCCCCGCTGAGGAGCAAGCAGCAGTGGGAGCCACCATCCCCACCATGAGTCGCAGCCCCCATGCCCCCTCACCCTGCTTGGGCAGCACCTGTTTCCTCCCTCACTGCAGGGATGTTGATCTGCCCCCCCACGCCCCTTCCACAATACTGGACTTAGCAGCCGGTGGCAGCTGTATCGGAAATTGGATTGGTATTGGCTGATATGCCTCCTTAAATATCGGCTATTGGTATCAGCCCCAAAAATCTCTACCGGTACACCCCTACCAGATGCTGGTTTTTTTTACCCCGCCCCCTCCATCCATATCAGCCAATTGAACTTAAAATGTTAAATGCTCTATCACTCATCTATGAGCCCAAAATACACACCCAAGGGTGTGAGGGAGTTTAACAATACTATTCCTCAAACTTGATTTAAAAGGCCACCACATAGGGAACCTAGAAATTGTTCATGTTGGGGAAAAAGCAGGTGCTGGAATTCCCGAGAGGGAGAAGATGATTAAGGAGAAAATGGGAATTTTTCTTTTAACCATATTAAAAGGTCACAGTGAATATAAATAAAAGACATTTTACCTGTGGTGATGATAAGCAAAAACACTTGGGGATTGTATTACACAGGAGTCAACAGAATCTCTCCATGGAATAACCGTTTTGTACAGTTGATTGTATATATCAAATATAGCTAGGTATTATTACATATGCATGTGTGTGAATTAAACAGTAAGAACAAATGTCACGCTACCTTATAAAAGAAGTATTGCACAAGCTCTGATATCCTCACATAATAAAAATGCCCGTGAACAAGTAACATTTTTTTCAAATGTTTAAATTTAGGTATTGCATAGTCACTATTTCTTGCAGCCTGACGACCTTCCTTTCCAATGACCCCTGAAAACAAAGGGTTGATAGAAGCTGAGTAAACAAAAGAAGTATTAAAGGATATACATGAATATCTGTAAAGTTGCTGCTCATGCTGCATTGTTAATGAACTATTATTAGATTTCATAAAACCATATAATTACTTGGATTTTGTATAGTAAGTTAGCTAAGAAAACATAATTCTTTCAAAAAATGCCTTTCTAATGTATATTTGCATTACTATGAAGTTACAATGTAAATTGTAAACTTACCTATACCAACATGTGCTTCAAGAATCATACTGACGTCATTTGCTCCATCACCAATTGCTAACGTGATAGGATGTTCCTTAGATAATTTAATCAGTTTTACAATCTGGAGAAAAAAAAACTCAGCATTAAAAACCTCTTCTTTGATACTTCTATAGCTTGACTATTTTGTAAAATAGAGCATTTGGCATTTAATTAATTAGCAAGCAGTATGGTTAAAAGCAAATCAAAAGCCCAAAGAGTCCTGGTCAACTCAACTACTAGACATTAAAAATCATCATGTACTCTTTGACTATAAAGAAGGTTAGATATGGATAGAGAGACTCCTGCTTTTACATGTACTACAATGTTAACAGAGGTAGACAGCATGCTGAGCTGGCTAAATAAATGTATATGTATTTAAATAGAACTTCTGTTTCACAATCTTCACTTATAAGCTCTGATCACTTCAATTAATGAAAATAAACCCCAACAAGTAAAGATTGTAAATTTTCAAGTAAATGGTGAAACAAAAGATTGAAAGAGATTCTTCTCTCAAATGCACTTTCCTGAAGTAGGAAAACAATCTTTAAAACTTATCTTGTGAGCAAAATCAACAACATTAATGGTAAACATTGATTCTGAAAAGTTTCTTGCATAGTAACAAACAACTTCTTCCAGTTTCTACAACCTTTTCATAACAATACTCTTTACATACAGACACACAGACAGGCTCTGTGTACGAATACTTTTCAATTAAAATATATCCCAGATGCAATTGTAGGCCTATTATAAGCTGTAGGCACATTTTGTTTTTTAAAAAACAGTCTATTCAAACTAAAGACTTAAAAATTTTTCCTGCAGTTTAAAATAAAAGTGACTAAGTGTGTTAATTAGGCTAAATGAATATGCATGTATGCTGTACGTGTGTATCAAGGCAAAAATACTCAGTGCTGGATAAAATATATGAATTTTCCAACAGTTTAGTGTCTTTAAAAAAAAGATTATATTTCCTTACACTGGAAATATTAATATTGTTTACAAACTAAACCCCATATTAAATGAGCCTTTTATTTGGAAACATGTAAAGCAAATTTGTATATTCATGTTAACACCATTGACATGTTTCAATAATGGGGAAATACTTTTAAACTAATGTAACAAAAAAAATAAACATATATTAAAGAATTTATGTGCCCAAAATCATATACAGAACACTTTTCCCAACTATTTAGTTGGTCTAATAAAAAATATAACATTTACCCAAAGAACCTTGTCTGCTTAAAGAATTTATAGCATCCACTTGCTCTATTTGGACTTACCTTTTTGTGTTTATTAAAGGAGTAACACAACAAGATACAGTTCATGTTTCCAATAATACATTGTAATATCAGTAGAAGATGACGCAATTAGTTCAGTTCATTTAATATGTTCATTAATCGGCATGTTTCAGCCATAAAACTTGAATATAATGCACATAAATCACAATCAGATGCATAGTAGAGTGTCATTTTAATGTGCCATTACCTAAATTGCTTTTTACAGAAATTCCCCTCTCATTCTTTTTCTAATTTTCATTTTTTTTCTTCTACTTTAAGATCTAGAAAATTGAATGCTAACAATTTTGAATTCCCATGTCACACAAAAGTAACAACATTCAATATTTACCCTGATACGCTGTTAACAATAATTATCAAATGAAACAAACCTGAGCTTTCTGCAAAGGCGCCATTCGACAGCATAACACTGCACTGCAGTTTCTGCAGATTTCAAGGAAGAGTTCTCTGTAGTTACCCGAGCTCCCATCTTCTCTCGGTTTCATTATTAATGATAATGCTGCTCCATCAATAATTAAACCATAATCGTGCATATCAGCTGAAAGTCTGTTGAGGGGGAAAACACAAATAGAGTTAAATAACTACGAGTTACTGTGAAATAATTTTGAGTTTTGATTTCACAGTGGTGTGTAGCACTAACTTACTTATGAACAGGGATCCTGGTTTTCTCTGATAAAAAAAAAAAACCCCCAATTTTTGGATTAAAAAAGTAACCCAATCCAAATTTTTCCATGATGAAAATGAAACACCACTAATATAGAAATAAATGAAATGCCACTCTCTCTCTATATGTATCTATATATTAGTGGTGTTTCATATTCATCATGGAAAAATGTAGATTTTGGGTTACTTTTTTAATTTGAAAATTGGGGATTTTTATAATTAGAGAAAACCAGGATCCTTGCTTATGAATAAGGAGGCTTAACAAAAGAATGCTATCAAGATTAAAATGCACTTAACATGAAAACTTGTCTCTTCTGCTACTAATAATTTACTTTAGTATTCTAGATTATTTTTTGGTCAGCTGGTTTATTTGTTTTCCCATTTTACCACCTCGCTTGACTGATGAAACTAGACAGACTCAGTGCAGGAAGCTGTTTGATTTTTTTAAGGGTCAAAGGAGTCTGGTGCCAGCTGACCCCTTTGAAAAGCGCTGCAAGCTCAGGTTGGGTAGGAAGGTCTGGTCTCAGGTCACAAAGCAGAGAATGATGCACTGAAGTAAGTCTTTGCTCCGAGTTGGAACAAGCTTTGTTTTATGTTATACTGGACATTTTTGTGTTTGAAAGAAGGGTCCAAAAGACACTTGAGCCTGGTGTTAGTACTTCTTGAGCTTAGGAGATAAGCCAGAAGTTTGTACTTAAGTTGCCATTACTCCTATGACTGCAGTATGGTCATGCTGACAGGCCTAAGTTAGATATTTTATAGCTAACTCAGCTATGTTTACATTATATTGTACAGTGTAGCTACACAGAACATTTCATTCATGTTCTTAATAGGAGTAGGCTACTGTGTTTGGGTTTCCAACGGTGCAAGGGATTGCTTATAACAAAGATGAAACCACAGTGGGATTAAAATAAGACAGATATAAATGTAAAATTAACTGAAAAATGAAATAACATAACCAATGAATGAAGAATTTTCAAGTAAAGAAATCTGAGAGGTTTGACTGAACGTACCCATGAGCTCCTGACAAGACACACAAGAGGGTTTTTCTTTTAAAATAAAAATGTGTTTAATATCTTATTATATATACTACATTGTATTTTATATATCACTTCAAATATATGTACACACACACAAGTAATGAGACACAGGGAAAACCATTAACTTTTAGTTATGGTTAGCAAGCTAGACTCCAAGCAACCAGACTCATGTCTGGATTTGCTGCCAAAACTATAGAGCCTGTCTATAAGGTTTAATAAGCCCCCAAACCTTTTTTAGAATGGAATGAACATCCACTGATAGCCACTTTGAAAAAATTCAATATCTAGTTTATTTTGCAGTAGCTTTCATTTCAGTAAGCCCTAGTTCATACATGTTTCCATTTTCAGCTTCCAAATAACATTTGTCCCTCTCTCTAACTATCCTTTTCCTCCCTGGCACATTTCAAACAGGTGAACCCAATTTCTCTTCCCCATGATATCCTCCTTTCCTCTGAGCCACTGAATACCTATAATATGATTATATGATTTCTGGTTCCCATGTCTTCATATTTAAACCACTCATTTTTCAAGTTCTTACGAGGTACAGTAAAACTTCCAGTCTGTATGCTGTGCCCCACGTGCATATAGGTGTACTCTCAGCCTCTTAATTATACTACAGGGGCATGGTTTTATCTGGGCAGCACAGAGTACAATAATCTTGACATAGGAACGTACTATTTTCTGTATATTTTAAAACAAAAATAACATGTATGATCATGAACAAAAACCATGCTAATAGAACAATCTCTCACAATGGAAAATATAATTGGAGAGAGATATTTTAAACTATTAAGAACATTCTCAAAAGTAATGTTCCAAGACAAAGAGTGTGAAGATTGAAGCCTACATTCCATGTACATTTCTATGCCACAACAGTTCTAGTTCTATGCAACAACTCACACTGGAGCTTTTCATCTATTTTATCAACCATTCAAATAATTATAAAATGTTCAGCTAGTGTTCTTTTGGCTTGAAAGATGAACTTTCTACATACCCTGAGAAGCTGTCCCTGGTTAAGCTGCCACTGTGCCTAAGGACAGTTTTGCTTAGGTCAAACAGCACATCATGTAAACTTTGTTCCTCAATTTTCTTCGTGGTTAGCTCAAGTATTTGTGTGTTTCTTCTGAAGAGCTTGCAGGCATAGCAAGTGGCTGCAGCAGTTTCCATTTTGTCGCCTGTCAGAACCCAAACTTTAATGCCAGCTTTCTGGAGTGCTTCAATAGTGTCAGCAGCTTTTTCTTGTAGTCTGTGGATATCAATTGAGAATAAATCCTGATGGACTGACTGGAAATGAGAAATTCAGGGTCTTTATTAAAAGTTTCCCATGACATACAGGTCAGAAACAGACATGCTCTTTGGAGCGTGCTCAGCTGTGTTGCTATATGTTCCTGACCCACTTGGCTGATGTCTAAAGACATCACCAGGGCTGTCATCCTGTATGGTTGGGCCCATGCCCCTCCTGGGGCTTTAGAGGCCTGATCCTATGGGAAAAGGGTGCCATGGCCTGTCTTGGGGTGTATGTCCGAAAGTGGGTTTCTCTGTGTCAGTGTGCACATACAGAGAAGGGGACCCCTATGGAAGTTTCCTTCCTCTCTGCTTGAATCCTGCTGCAGGGGATTTCTTTGGTGTGCATCTGCAGGTGCAGAGGGGGGAACTCCCAAAAGGTTCTCCTTTCTGTGCCTGCAGTGTGGCTATTCCAGGGGAATCCCACCACAGGGCATTCAAGCGTAGAGGGGGAACTCCCATAGGGGTCCCCTGTCAGAGCTTGCACCTTGCACCCTGATTCAGGGTTTGGTAACATTATACGTATGCCAGGGCTTGGTACTTTTCTCCCTGCTGTGCCCCATGTTGGGGTGCTGTTTGCAAGCAGAGGGGGAAATCTCTATGGGAGTTAACCCCCCATTATACTTGTAGATGTGCACCAGAGGAATGATTGCAGATGTGGGCTCTGTGTCGGGGTGATAAGGCACCTGGGGTCCTTTTCCCACAGGACTGGGCCCCTAAAGCTGGGTGAGTTCCTGCCTGGCATGGTAACTGCCTGCACTCTCCTGCCATAAAGGAACAGACATAGGCTGCTAAAAGGCAGCACAAATGATTACTAGGGTCATGACCACCACAAAATTTAAGCACTTGTAGTGAAACAAAGGACTAAGACATCTGGTTGACTTGGTTTTTGTGTTAACTGTTGGCACAAAGTTGACACGTGTTTTCAGCCAGTAAAAAGTTTTAAGCCACGAACAGTCATGTAGTTTGAAGTGCCCTAAACAGCAAAAGACAGATAACGCGCAGCCAAATAAGCCCTTCAGTAATGGCTGAAACACTTAAAAAAACAACCGTCAGAAAAAGAGGAACATTTTTGAAGGCCTCCAGCATCCCATAGTGCTCCCCTCCTCCACAGGGGGCCAGGGGGCCCAAAACTTCTAACGTCAATTTTTTTTTTAATGAAATGAGCTGGGTAGTATAAGGTTCCCTCTCTGCTCCGGAGAGTATGTCTTTACATACAAAAAAAGGAAGAATTCTATGAGAATCATTTGTATAAAGGTATCTGCATCTAGTGCAAGAGAGGAAAAGAAATCTTTGAGTGTCAGAGTCAGTTCTTTAGCTAACAGGTATTTCTTTTAATTCATCAGATCTGATATAAAGTATAGGTTCCCCTTCCCCTTCTCATCACCTCCCCCCAAAATCAAACAGGCAAACAAAACCCCCTCATATACTAACCGGTCTTCAACAGCTGTAGCACCAAGCAAAATAAGATCCTTTTCTATCTTGTCATATGCCTCTGCCAGTTTCTTTTCCCGATCCTGCAGGGCCAGCATTGAACTCTGAAGCATCTTGTGCAAAAAATCATACTCTTTGTGTGTGAACTTCTTATATGCAACACAGAGTGTTCGGAGTCCCTCCTTAAGAATACCATCAAAATAAGAAATATCATTGGCCTCACATAATAATTTCAGGGCTTTTTTCTTAATGGAGTTTACATTAGGATGGTTCCAAGAATAAAAAGCATTTTACAATTAATAAGATTTGCCCTTTTGATTCCTTGATGTTAGGTCAGGACAGGAAAGTTAGCAGAGCAGAGGGAAAGTGATTTTACTAGGCCCTAGAGCAACAGATAAAGAGATTGTGATCATCCAAATAGGGAGTAAACAGGCCTGGATCTATACCGATGCAGCATATACTTCTTGATATGCTGGATCTGGCCTGTGGGCTGGGGCTTGAGGACCCCTGATCTATTCTCTACTTGGTACCTTAGCTTTATAGTTTCCTGTACACAAATGCACCAAAGCAAGTAAGAGCTGGGTTGAAATTAAGCAGAATGATGACAAGCTTTCAGAAGGCAGTATAACAAAAAAAACAAACAAAAACCATCATTTTTGATGCAAGTACGGCAAATTTTTCTTCTTAATGACAGATATTATCTTTATTGCATATGCATGTGGTAGCAGAACTCTGCCTTACTGATCACTAAAATGAAACAGTTCTTAAGGAATCTATATTCTAGGTATGACACAGAACATGAAGGTAACTAAAGAAAGGGCAGGGAAATAAGGGCCAATAAGAAATAAGATAAAAAGATAGTGCGAGTTATATGACTTGGTATATGATGTAAAGGTTGTGATTTTTGAAACAGACACCAAAGCAAGCAGAGTGAAGCAGACAGCACAGGACTGAAAGTCAGTGGTAGAAAGCAGAGTGAAAGAAATGGATTTTGAGCACAATAGAGGAAGGTTATTCTAGTTGTAAGGAATAAATGGATGAGAACAAGAAGCAGTCATGAATGGGCAAATTGTAAAAGAGGGATAAGAAGATGTCAAATTCTACCAAGCTTTTAGTGACAGTGCACTTGAGCTTCATACAGAAAGAACAAAGAACCAATGAAGGGACAATAGCAGTACTGTCAGGAAAGAAAGACAGTTCCTGCTGTGGGATGCTAAACAGATTGAAGAAGAGTTTGTCAGTGAATTATGAAATTATTCTGTTCTATAAGAGAGTGATTTGCAATAAGATAGTTTGGACTATGTGCGTTTCGATGCATTAGTAGATTTTACTGGATGAAAAGAGGTGCATAGCGTGAGCTCTTAGTAAAGGGAAAAATCCACAATTTCAAAAAAAAGGGAAAAAGGTTTAAATTAGAACTGCAAAATGACCTTTAAGCTTGACTCTGCATGAACCAGGGGAAAAGAAAAAAGCAACTGATGTATGAACATGCTAGTAATGAAGTAAAAAATGTTTTGAATGAAAAACTCACCTAGATTCTGGACATTGGCAGTTATCAAAGGAGATGAAATGCCACTAAATGAGAAAACAACATTAATTCTTTTTTAGAAGGGAACGTGCATATAAGAGGATGAACCTCATTCCTGTGAAGATGACTGAAATAGACAGAGGGACAAATTTCACTCTCCTATCCGCAGATTCCCTTCTAAAAATGGATTAACGTTGCTTCCTCATTTAAAAACCTCCTTTAATTAACAGGTATGTCTTGCTTGAAAAAAAAACTCTGATTCAGTTCCTTGACAAAGGCAAGATTGTGAGGTCTTCCCACTGGTATTAACATACTTTGCATTGGTGCACCATACATTGTCTCTCAGCCCCTGGTATTATCACAGGAATACTAAGAATTAAGAAAACCTTTTCCTGGGCACTTTGTGGCTGCAGCATTTTGCCTGCTGAAACCAAAAATTCCACGCAGCAAGGATCACAGATTCCTAAGTATTTTATTGCTATTGAGCAATTAACTATAACTACACCACTTCTCAATTAAGTTTTCCATTTTTTTAAAGACAGAACATATTAATGGCTACTCCTTGAAGAATACAGTCTTTGAGATGACACAGATAATTTTGCTCATTTTAGACCTAACTTTTTGGGCAACTAATCCAAAACTTAAATATCAGTAGAAAAAAATCTAGGTTGTAAGTGACAAAAATGACAAAATGAACAACTTCTCAATGATCCTTACCAAAGAAAAAAAAAAGGAAAGGAAAGGCCAGGGGGAACCAGACTGTAGTAGCTTAACTAGACTGTTAAATCTGGTAGGAAAGACATTTCAGACTGCTTCAACATTGGCACTATGTCTGTAACAAAATAAGGAAATGTTTTATTTGCCAGCTAACTAATGTTGTAAGAAGTAATATATTTCAAAAGGCATTTTAATGTTAGTACAGAAGATCAATCAAGCAAGTAAAGGCAGCTCTCTATACAGTTACCTGTACCAATCTAAAAAAGACAGGTCATGTAATTGGTTTCCTGATTGTTATTTATTACAGCGGATGAGCCTATTTGCTGTCTGTATTATTTCTCGGAATTTTCTATATTTAGAAATCAGCCCTAAATGCAGTTGTCAATGATGAAGAAATACTGAAGTGATGGGTCTGGATTTGTTCTTTACAAGAAGTTGGATGGATATGATGTGTTAAATTGTTCTTTCAGTTTCATTAACCTCCTTTACCTCTGACCAAACAACCTTGCAGAAGATAGACAATTGTTTTGTATAGTAAAGCTTAGTGATATGCTCTTGCAAGAAGATTTAAAGATCAACCAATATCCCTTTAAAACAAAAGCAGATAATGTTAATTTTCCTGTAGTAATACTTGTTTACTTGTAAACAGTCAGTTCTGATTACAAGCCAAATGCTTTTTTAAAGACAAATAATCACATTTCACGCAAATTACTTGTGTTCTTTAAAAGCTGAGACCAATATTTTACTACTCCTAAGCCTGTCTTACAAGTAAAACCAAGTTTGGGATTTCTTCCCCATGGAATCAAGCAAGCTCATATTTCCTTTTAAGGGAGAAAAAAATGTTTGTATAAGCATTATTGTTGTGTTGTTTCTCTATAACTAGAACATTTGCTGTTTAATTATGTTCTAATGGTTTCTCTCTCTTGAGAGCCTGTGAAGTGACATGCAGTCAATCAAGGCTAGGACTGAATGCTGGGGGTAGGGTTTTTAATAGGAGTTTTACCACTGACTTCAACTGAAGAACAGACATACTCTATACGTTGGAATCCAAGATGAGGTGCCTCCGGTACCCCATTTAACATAGGAGGAAAAGGGCCCCTCATCCTTGATTTGAGTACAGAAATGGCAGAGGGTGGGGGTTGGACAGGCACCTCCTGCAACTCCAACTCTGGCCCTGATCTGAGGTTTGAGTAGGTGCTGCAGTACCCTCCTGACCCCCACAGTCTTCCTCCCTGCCACTACCACTGATGTCACTTTCCACCACAGCTCTGCCTCCATCCCTTCTCCGGCCCAGCGACACGCAGTGATTGCAGCTCTGACCCTGGCCCCTGGCAGGAAAGAGGCAGCAGGGGCAGGGCAGGAGGTACAAATGCCAGGACTGCAGGCACTGGAATGGGGGTGCAAGGGCCACGACATGCAGGCACCTGGGGGCGGGGGCGGGGCAAAGGCTCCCCAACTGCCTGCCTCCCTACTACCATTTTCCCTGCTGCAGTAATAGAGGGGATGAATTTAAGATGACTGTCCAATACTTTGATTCTGAACATGGAAAATTAAAACTAATTTATAGATTTTCCATGTAGAGGATCTAATTATTGGGGATTTGGTGTAAAATTTGAAATTGTCTTGGATTTGGGTAAATACAGTAGCTCAAGTTGAGTGGCTTTTGAAAATCTCACCACTGTACATCGATTAACAATTTATGGGTAACACACAGTAACAGACATCTATGCACATTCCTAGTTTGCCCTGGTTAAAAACATGATGTAAAAATATCTAACAAATAATGGTTTTGAAGTGCTGATTAGAAAGGATCCTGGTTTTCTCCGATTAAAAAATCCCCAATTTTCAGATTTTAAAAAGTAACCCAAAATTCACATTTTTCCGTGACTAAAATGAAATGCCACTATATATATCCACATTTTTCCATGATTAAAATGAAATGCCACTTTAGTGGCACTACACTATAGTGGCATTTCATTTTAATCATGGAAAAATGTGCATATATATACTATATATGTGGATATATACACTATAAACTATAGTGGCATTTCATTTTAATCACGGAAAAATGTTGATTTTGGGTTACTTTTTTAAATATGAAAATTGGGGATTTTTTAATCAGAGAAAACCAGGATCCCTGATGATTAGGCACTGGCCTGTACTGGAGCTGAGTCACATCACCTAAGAAGGAGTTAAAAAATATGTATGGGTAGCATGGACTCAGCACTGTGGGCAGCAAGTGCCCCATAGGGGCAGCTTTGGTGAAAAATATTTATGACATGTAGGAGGGCAAAAAGGCTTATATGGACAGATATAGCATAGGAGTACAGATTCTTTAACTTCTCCTCATCTTGGTACATCATGCATGGCCAAGATAATGTTACTACAAGACAGATATTTACTCTTACCACTGCATTGCGCTCAACCCGAGATCGTATTTGGTCTATTTTGCCCTCTTTAACTCTAGGAAATATTGAAGAATCTGCTCCCTTACAAAAGAGAAAAATGTCACCTAAAAGACACAAAATAAGGAGTTAATATGGTTGCAATGTTTTGGGATTTTTTTCCCCAAATACACACTTTACAAATGAACAAATGTTCATTTGTAAACAAGTCTCCACAATTTTTTTAATATACCCTCTATATGAACATTGGCTTGAGAGTCATAATTATCAGTTTAAAATCCCCACACTTCACTGAAAATTGACATGGACCACTTAGGAGGCAACAAGAATTCAAAATCACGACAAAGATTACAAACACAACTAAAAGAAGACAGAATGTGATTTCTACCTGTTGCCGATTTAACAATTACACTCATTCGTCTCCTTACAGAATCAAAACTCAAAGTCTCTAATAATTCAAACCTGGAAAAGAAAACAAGTACATTTTGAAGTGCTCCCATTTCCTCTCTCTCCCCTCAACCCCCACCCCACTCAGTTACACTTGTTATTGATGCTAGAAAACAGTTTACAACTACTGCCATACAATACAAAGTAAGCAAGACTAGGTTCAGGAATTAAAAGGTCCTGTCCCACATGGCCATATTTGAAATCACAGTTAGTGCAAGTGGACTTTTGGCTACTATGTCAAAGTAAATGATTCATAGAGCTCCCAGCTAACTGCTTAGAAACTTCAGTTTTGCCAATAAAGTTATTTATATTACTGTGCCTATCGATTACTGTGTTGGCCATGCTGAGCATCTTGGTACCCATCACTCATACCCATCCTGTGCTTAAGTCGCCTTAGACTTCTGATTAAGCAGTAATACAGACCAACACCATTGTGTTAAGCACAAAGCACATCAGCCACAGATGCCTTCATTCAAAAGAACAACAAGAGGTAATAGTGATAGAGCTGATTGCATCTCTCCTTTTCTATAATGCTCAATGCATTGGCATCCAAGGGTGCCTGTACACACCATGGGTTTTAATCCTCATTAAATTAAATAGGTTTATAAAATTTAAATTTGTGATGCTCCAAAATAAACATCTGTGTTTACAAACACTAGGTTTTCAAACAAATTAAGCTGGGTCCCTAGCTGGTGTTGCAGCAGAGCAGGACTGTCCAGCACTGCCCCTCCTGGCTCAGGGTCCCCCACCCACCCCATGCCCATGCCCTGCCACAAAGCAGCAAACAAAGAAAAAAAAAAAAGAAAAGAAAAAGCCACACAAGAAAAAAAAAAGTGGAAGCAATTAAAAAAGCAATTTGAAGGGATGAACTACAAAAAGTCACAGCGCCATCTGGTGGACAAAGAGGCTCATTACACATCTGAGTGCCATTGTGTTTGTACCCAACGGATCCATGGATGCAATGTTTTAATTCCTGGTGAGCCAAACTAAATTATGTCAGAGGAGTTTTAGTTTAATGCACAAGAAAGACTTTTAAAGCACTGGGAACTCCTGCTCCTGCATAGAGATCTGGTGGACAAAGAGGCTCATTACACATCTGAGTGCCATTGTGTTTGTACCCAACGGATCCATGGATGCAATGTTTTAATTCCTGGTGAGCCAAACTAAATTATGTCAGAGGAGTTTTAGTTTAATGCACAAGAAAGACTTTTAAAGCACTGGGAACTCCTGCTCCTGCATAGAGACATGCATAGTTTCATAGTTGGTAGGGTCGGAAGGAACCTGAGCAGATCAAGTCTGACCCCCTGCCATGGCAGGAAAGAGTACTGGGGTCAAACAAGGGGTTCATCCAGCCTCCTCTTAAAGACCCCCAGGGTAGGAGCCAGCACCACTTCTCTTGGAAGTTGGTTCCAGGTCCTAGCCGCCTTGACTGTGAAGTAGCGCCTCCTGATGTCTAGTCTGAATCTACCCTCTACCAGCTTGTGACCGTTATTTCTAGTCACTCCTGGTAGTGCTCGGGGGAACAGGGACTCTCCCAATGCTTGCTGGTCGCCTCCGACTAGTTTGTAACAGGCCACTACATCCCCACTCAGCTTTCTCTTGTGGAGGTCCTGGGGGACCCCACTGCCCACATCCCTCCAGGTCGAAAATGACCCTTCCACCAACATTCTCTGGGTGCGACCCTCCAGCCACTTAGCGACCATACATGCAGTTGCAGTGTATGAAAGGGCCCTCCAGCCACTTAGTGACCATACATGCAGTTGCAGAAGGATTGTGGGTTAGGTTACATGGAGGTCAAGGAGAAAGGGATTTGGTGGTAGGGGTCTGCTACAGACCCCCACACCAAGGGGAAGAACTAGATTTGGGGCTCCTGAGGCAGCTCTCGGAGACCATAAAAACTAGGGAGG